GTCGCCAGCTCTTCACATCCGTCGCCATCTGCATTCATGTCTCCCGAAACGGAGACCACGAAAACCGACAACAAAAGCATGGAATTGCTGAATTTCTTACTTGCTGTTACTGATGGATACCACGGATTGTCTGGAGCATTATTTACTTTTCTTACTATTGTCGAGAGAGAACTGAGTGCACGCTGAGCGGCTCACGAATGTCATGACGTTATGGCCTTTGATATCCGGATAGTACATCTGCTCAAGGGTAGCAGCTCTGACATCCATCTTTGGGTTTTCTTGGCGAAGAAGAGTTGGGAAGAAGTGAGAAGCTTCTCACCACGTCCCGAGCTCTACTCCGACACTCCGATGTACCTTCCTAATCACTCCCTCACTCCTTACCCGAAACCCTTCCCTCTCCCTTGCTCCCCTACCGACACTCCGATACAAACAAACAACATCTACTACCAATATTTAGAATTCTATGATGATAGTGTCTAGACTGCGAACTACTCCTAACGTGATGTGGTACTTGCGAACGTTTGATGATGGTGCTGCCCAAGGGGAAATGAGTGCAGCATTGCACGTGCAGAACGAGGCTGCCCAGATGTTCCGAACCGTTGGACCCTCCAATCGGGAATACGTCATTAGTGTCACGCTCGGACGCTGAGCACCTGAGCACGATGTCTTCGCCACAACAACTGAGCTTTCCACAGAGGGTTCAGCAGTGAGAGGAAGGTGTTCCGTCAAAGAAGTACTTGGAGCAGCACAAGCTCGAACGACAAACGCTGCAGGCGCGGGATGCTCGCCCACGGTGAGGTTCGGCAGGCAGGCTTCGTGTGCCTCGCTAATCCTTCCAGGATCGCCCAGACGCCAGACGCGGGCAGGCGGTAGACTAGGGCAGAGACAGATTTGGCACCCCGACTGATTTCCGAAGGCTGGGTAGTAGCTGTTTCTTTTCAGGAGCTAGCTCTTCTAGGAAGGGGTGCATGATGGTTAAAGATGATTTCTTGACCGCATGTTCCCTCTCTGCCTCGCTTCTGCTCCTCCACAATATTCCTTACTCCATCCGCAACTCCCCTACCAGACGACACCAAACGAATTCACGGTTTGAAGCCTACGAGACTTGACACCGCCTACAAAGCACACACCACTCTCAACTGAGCACCACGACTATCATGGCGCCCATCCAAACGCAGACGATTACCCCTCACCAATTCAGCAACCCAGTCACTGTCATTCGAGCATCAGGACGCATATCGAAGCCACCAGCGCGATCAACGCGTACGCAGACCAAAGCACTGTTGTCTCATTCGCCACAAATACCTACCGCCCACCCAGACATCGACATCAGTCTGCTCCGTAACAAGTTGCTTCTTCAGTGCCGCCAGTACATCCCGTCAGAGCTTCTCCACGAAGCACTGGCAGACGGCATCTACTCACGCGCAACACACTGGATCACGCCCTCCTCCAACGCTGCGTCAAAGTTCGGCAAGCGGAAGCGCTACTATGTCTTGCATAGCGCAAACTTTACGTTTCAGTCCATGGGCAGCGCGTGGGAAGCGCGGATTCTATCTAGAGGCAGCCAGCCTATCGATGCAGGAAACGGAGTAGTCGTCTTCGTCAAGGAGAGGAAAGAATGGGACGCATTCATGGCGGGGTACAGAAGGCAAGGAAAGCGAGCGGGGCAGCTGATGAGGCTCAAGCAGAAAGACACGGAGCGAGGGTGGAGAGATGCGTGGAAGAGGAAATGCGGGATGGAGCAGGGCGGCGGTAAGGAAGTCAACGCTGGGCCAATGTGGGTGCTGGTCAAGAGCGCTGTTTCGAAGATTGTCAGAGGTGAGGCGTGAGCTTGCCTTCTGGGCCCCGGAACAGAGTGGGGGCTGCATCTGCTGGCGTTTGGCCTTGGATCTTCTTTTTTAGCGAGCATATTTTCACGACCTTATGAACGGCTGGAGCGGTAAGCGCGGAGAAGGCTTTGATGCCTTTTCCAGACTATGCGTAGATATCTTCTCCCACAATAAATGACACAATCTCATGAAAACTCAGTCGGCAGATTGGCGCCCTTTGCATCGTGTGTGTGCTCCTCCAGCTCGCAGTGAAGCGGCGCTCCACACACTAGCGAGTGGGTGGCGCGCCCCGGTCGAGTCGATCCCTGAGGCTCAAACACGGCCCGTGCTCGATTCTAACTCCGTCTTAGCCCCGGCCCGGCCACTGATGCCACGGTTGAAGCTTAGATGCCTATGGCGCAGGTGTAATCTAAACCTAGGGCCAGGTGTACACTTTCCACTGACCCGCAGTCGCTCGAGAAACACTGTTCCTCTGTATCCCTCGCGCATCATCATCGCGCGGTCCACTCCTTTACACACAGCGCGACACGCCACAACACGAACGCGGCGCGCGCCTTCCTCAATCAACTCCCACGACGTCACTAGCGATACCCACCATACAGCACGTACAATGGCGGAACCCTCTCGGCGCAAGGTCAATGAGACGAATGGAAACGCGAAGGGAGATGTGCACCAACTGGATGGCGCCCACCAATTGGACGGCGCGGTGCATTCGATCGAGCAGAAGCTGGAAGAGCAAGCAGAGCTCCATGCGCGGAACCCTCAGGAGCAAAAGGAAGCAGGGCTGTTCCAGCTGGTAATCTGTGTCGCTGGTATATATGGAAGTTTGTAAGTCACGATAGAGCCTACGTTGACGTTACGTCGCCTACTTTGTACGTTTTTACGTCAATGTAGGCTGCAGACCTGTTCAGCTTTTTTCGTGTATGAGGCGGTCACAATGTACAACAGTACATTGGAAACATAGCTAACACAGGATAGTATGACCTGGGCATGGATCCAAGAGCGATTGACAACCACCACCCACGGCCCCAACAACCAGCGCTTCACGTACTCCATCTTCCTCAACACCGTCCAATCCGCCTTCGCTGCCATCACCGGCCTACTCTACCTCAACCTCTCCGCGAAGAAAGACCCCAAGACCGGCGTGCGCAAGGTGCTACCCATCTTCCCCTCGAAGGACATCCTCATGCCGCTCCTCGGAATCGCCGTCACATCGTCGCTCGCGTCCCCCTTCGGATACGCAAGTCTCAAGCACATTGACTACGTCACCTTCATCCTAGCCAAGAGCTGCAAACTGCTCCCGGTCATGTTCCTCCACATCTCGCTCTTCCAGAAGCGATACCCCATGTACAAGTACGCCGTCGTCGGTTTCGTGACTCTCGGTGTCGCAGTCTTTACACTACACAGCCCGTCCACGGCGAAGAAGGCCGCGAAGAAGGGTGTCAGCGCAGACGCCTCGCAAACTATTGGTCTAATTCTGCTCGGGGTAAATCTTCTCTTCGACGGCCTTACGAACACGGTCCAAGATCACATCTTCAGCAGTTTCAAAGGTTTCACCGGACCCCAGATGATGTGCGCCCAGAACATCATGTCGACAGCCCTGACAGTGTCGTACCTCCTCATCACACCTCTCCTTGCATCCACGCCCCTCGCTGGCTGGATCGGCCTTGACCCACGCTCCTCATCCGGTGAACTCTCCGACGCGCTCTCGTTCATAACCACATACCCCGCTGTTGGCTGGGACGTCCTCATGTTCTCCGCCTGTGGCGCTATAGGCCAGGTCTTCATCTTCCACACCCTAGCCCACTTTAGCTCGTTGCTGCTTGTTACAGTGACGGTTACGAGGAAGATGCTGACCATGGTTTGGAGTGTGTGGTGGTTCGGTCATGAGATTACTGGCATGCAGTGGCTAGGTGTTGGACTAGTGTTTGGTGGTATTGGTGCGGAAGCGGCGGTGGGGAGGAGGGAGAAGGCGAAGAAGGCTGCGGCTAAGAAGTTGGAGGAGGAGAAGAGGAAACGATAGATTATGTGAGTTGGGATACATATTTTTTGAGAGTACTAGAGGATAAAGCGGTAGACGATTCTTGTGCAGTTGATAGAGAATACCTTTTTTCTTAGACTAGCTTCAATTCATGAGCTCGGACAGCAGTCAAGCTGAGCCTTACTCATCTGTATCACCACGCCCCAATTGCCCCACTTCCTCTTCGAGAGCTCCAACACAAACTGCACACTCTCTCTATTAGCAGCAAGTATCAAGACATACGCAGTACACACTCCAAACCATGTCACAAGAACCTCTCCTGCCTTCCTACGGCGCAGCTACCCAGCGCCCCCGCTCAAGCGAATACCGTCTTGTTGCAAAGCACACCAATGCCGCTCGCGCACTGATGAATACTCTCTTCGTGTTTGTCTCATGTGTCAGCGCTATCTTTGCGACTATCTGGGCAAGTCGAAGCAGTGGTACGCAAGCGGATCCCGTAAGTAATCAACCAGGTTTGATAGTCCTCTATTGACGTCTCACGCAGCCTCACACCCCACACACTGACACTGCGCCCCTCCTTCCGTATTTCGCATCCATCTCTCTCGTAGTGTCAACGTGCTTCTGGATCGCCTATCTCGTATTCATCGCGCATGACAAAGAAAACGGCTCGGTTCTCAAGCGCAAGATCACTATCGGTGTTGGGATTGCTGGGAAGGCGGTGCTCGCAGCGGCTCATGTGGCGATCTGGCAGGCATACAAGATGTGGTGTGAAGGGCTTGAGACACCGAATTGGGCAGTAGTGTTCATGGCGGCGCAGGCTTGGTTCGATGTGGTGTTTGTGGGGATTCACGGGTGGGTGATGTGAGCGCTTATGGTGACAAGGAGGGTCATGTTGCGATGAAGGCGTCGATGCAACAGCTTGGTGAGATTCAGCTCAGTTGTCTGGAGATCAACGCCCTTCCAAACTCATTGGGATTACGGAAGTCACACGCCCAGATGGGCTAGCACCTCGCACTAGAGTCTCAGGGATCGTGGAATTGGAAGCTACGTGCCAGTATCCATCTCCCACACTCCCGGCGACATCACTTCCCGATAATAAGAGGCTACCTCGAATATGTATACTTTCTGACTACACCTCCGTAAAACATTTCAATTGAGGCGGCAACACAGGATTGTTCTTGTCTGGCGCCCTAATTCCGGTCACCTGCACTGCTACCTGTGCCATCGTCGTATTCCTGGCCAGCGTGTTCATTACCTTCAACTCCTTGGTTGTTGCCACCAGATCCCTGGTCATTCTTCTTCTTCGATGCGAGATGGGCTACCATGATTAGTTTCTGCTCCTCAGCACGTACAACCGCCGCAGGCAATCGTAGAGACATCTGGGCGTTAGCATACGCATCGGCAAATGGGCCTGTGCGTCCGTCTCTTTGACTCTCAGTAGCTATCACGTCTGCTAGACCGTTGTAGACGAACAAGTACTCCAGGTTGCTGAGTATCGTGCTTGTGTTACCGGAGGCAGTGGCGACTGGGTCGTTCGACGACATGCTGTGGTTGGTGGATGCGGTCGAGATTGAGGGTGACTGATGACGGATGGGTGGAGTTAGCTATAGAATCGGTGAGTTGAATGTCTTCTTATTCCCATTACGTTCTCAGTATCGATTGCTTTCGTATCCGCATGGCTTCGCCATGTGATCCATACGTCACGCGCGGTACGCACACAGGTATCACTGACGGCAATGAAGGGATGTACTATTCATTCTACAGATATTAGGAGACTTGGGATGTTCATAGAGTTACGGGAAGCTTTGAGTACTCCCACCAGCTGTTGAGATTCCCACTACCCTTGTACTGCTTTTCCTTGATCTGCCAATGCCATCTGCTTCGCTTTCCTTTCCTTAGCCGTCAGCCTTTTCTTAGCTGTCAAATGCGCAATCTCGATCAGGATACCTGGTTCCGGAAACTTTTTCGCGGCTTCTCGAAAGTCTGGGAAGTTCTCACTAGCAATATCCTTGAAAGTCTTGTTGACGCCCTCGTACAGCCTTATCAGGTCCTCGTCATCTGCTTCATTCCAATTATCGTTGCACTTCTGTTGCATCTTGCTCCACTTATTGCTGAACTTCTTGCTGTCCTGATTCAAGAAGAAGAGATTCAATTCGTCGGGCACAACATCGGGGTGTCGTATGATCATGTGTCGCATGATACAGAGCAGTGCATAGAGATCGCGGGTATCGAACGACTCATTCATGGCCCTCATTGCCTGTGAGCCACCTTTACAAAGAGTTACCGGCCAACCTGTCTGATTCAAATCCTTACGTAATTCATCTTTCTCTTCTTGGTCAAGGTATAAGGAGTCGAGCGCTCGGTTGCGTCGTGCGACCAGATCTCGGGTTTTCTCGATATCATTTAGCGCTTGGTTACCAGGTGGTTGTGTTGTGGGCGCCACAGTTGGGCCTGGTGCGGGAACATCTGCACTAGATGAGGTGGAGGCCATGATAGGTATCAGTCAGGAATTGCACGAGGGTTGGCTTATCAGCATTATATAATACTCACTGTTTGCTGACGTACAAACTTGATGCGATATCAGTCAGTAGGACGGGGTCATGCTTGCCACGACGTATCATTGCGACCCAAGATATTACGTTGACGTAGGACTCATATTGGTGTTTACCTAGGTACTCTTTCGTTTGTAGGGGGGCACGTGGTATTGAGATCGTACCGGCACTTCCGGTGACCCTCAACAGAGCGTGAGATCCTCAGCGAAGGGTTATAACGACAGTATCTTGCCAATTCAGCTAATTCAGTGTGTATACAGCGAAACTGTACACATATTCTAAACCCCCCTCTTATTCCGTTGTCAGAGAATTATACTGGTCACGACACTGACTGACTCGCATACCAATGAAAACGTACTCTGCTATCTTGTTCATTCCCAGCAGTTTCTCGTCCCCCAGCCTCACGAGCAGGTCATTGTCCACATCTTGCCAAGTCCATGTAGGACCATCTCCGCAGCCCTCGATTGAGTCAAGAGACTGCCAGACTGTTGGCCAACCGTACTTTTCAAACAGCCCGCGTATCTGGCTCTGAACTTCCTCTGATACAGGCAGCTTGGAGAGGACAAAACCTTTGTACTGTTCCAGTAGCTGTGTTGCAGATGCATCAGAATCGTTCAATGAGTCAGCTGATCAGCATTAAGCAGAATAGCGAGGGATATTTACCTGCATCCTCATCTCCCTGTCCGGCCCTAGCTTCGACCTCAGCCTGTGAAATAGCCGCGGGCAGTCGCTTGGAAACTTCTGAATCGGTATATGCTTTAACCTCTGCGAATTTAGGATCGCCTTTAAACCTTCCCACACGCCCGTCAGCAGCATTCTCAGCGGCAACCTCGTCCTGAACTCTGTTGTGAATGGCTTGAGCCTCGGTATCGCTGAGTATCTCGCTCGTGTTGATGAAAGCTCCGTCAGGTGAAAACATGATGGATCGATTAAGAGTAATTGACATCTGAGTCAGTACCGCAGGCTCATTTAGTTCCTTTTCAATGGAGAAGCAGCACCGATTGCTTCCCTCACCACACTGCTTCACCATGTGCTCAGATTTCACGCGTGGTGCAGACACATGACTCTGCATCTGTGTTTGCGACCGAGAGGCCCGATAGAGGAGGTGTGATGTGTTTTCATAAGCACAGCTACTCTACACTGCCCTTCCTCGCCCACTCCCTAAGGACATTCTTCTGTATCTTTCCCGTGCTCGTCTTGGGCAGTTCCTTGACCACCACGACCTCCCTGGGCACCATGAAGCGACTGATGTTGCTGTTCTCCTTGGCCCACTGAATCACCTCATCGCCCAACGTGTCGCTGTCTGTGCCGTCCTTTGTGGTAACAAAAGCCTTGGGCCGCTCGCCCCAGTGTGAGTCCGGCACGGCGCAGACGCCGACTTCGAGGATAGAGGGGTGCGTGGAAAGCATGGCTTCGAGCGCTACGCTGGAGATGTTCTCGCCGCCTGTGAGCCCTTCGGTTAGCAGGTCGCGTCAAAAGAGTGAGGCTCGGAAAGTCAACAACATACCACTGATGATGATGTCCTTCGCACGATCCAAGATCTGGATTGCTCCATCTGGATGCCAAACGGCTAGATCGCCTGTATGCAACCAGCCACCCTCCCACAACTTGCGCGTCGCTTCGGCATCTTTGTAGTAGCCCTTTGCGCAGATGTTGCCTTCGAAGATGACTTCTCCAATCTCTTTGCCGTTTCTTTCCACGTCAGTGAGGACGCCTTCCGGCTGCTCCGTCTTGATGACTCGCGTCGCTTTGCCCATGATAAAGCCGTGGCCTTGTCGTGCCATACGATCGTATTTCGTCTTCTCGGGGAGCGTTTCCCATTCGGGCATGTGGTAGCCTTTCGTGATCGGACCGTACGTTTCCGTAAGACCGTAGACGTGGACGGGGTGTAGGTTCAAGTTGGACATCTGTTCGAAGAGCCATGCGCTCGGTGGGCTTGCGGCTACGGTGACTCTGACTGGCTGGGGTAGGCGCTCTGCTTCCTTCGCTGCGCAGAGTAAGGTGTTGACGGTTGGTGCGGCGTTGAAATGCGTGATGCCTTCCTCCTTGAGCAGGCGCCAGATCTCTGCGTAGTCGATCTTGCGGAGGCAATAATGCGTTCCTCGGACGGCGGTGACTGACCACGGGAATGTCCAGCCCGTCGCGTGGAACATTGGCAGAGTCCAGAGGTACTTTGCGCGGCCGGTATGATAGTTCAGCCCAGACTCGATGACATTGCCCATGGCAGCAAGGTAGACGCCGCGATGTGTGTATTCGACCCCCTTCGGCCGTGCTGTTGTTCCGCTGGTGTATGCGAGTGCCATGACGTCTTCCTCGTCCTTCGCCTGCGACTCCAGATCTGCCCAGCCCTTGCCTCCTTGCTCAATATCGTACTTCAATCCCTCGAGTACTGCATCGTCGAAAGGGCCCGAGAGTTCGCCTTCTGTCGCATCGGTGTCTGTGTCAATCAGTATGGGTACGTTTGGTCTTTCCTTCTTGTATTCGTCCAACAAGCCCACAAACTCAGCATCGGCAATGATCATGTCCACGTCTGAGTGCTGGAAGATGTAACTGATGTCATCGTGCTTCAACCGGTAGTTGATAGCGACATTGACACCTCCTGCCGCCGCGATACCGAATGTGCTCTCCAGGAATGCTGGTGTGTTTGTCGCCAATATGCCTACTCTCTTATACCCGTGTTTCCTCAGGTAGTATGCCAGCCCTCGTGCGCGGTCCGCAGCTTCAGCGTAGGAGCGCCGTAGGATCTTGCCGTTCGCCGTCTTGTGGTATATTGCCATGGCGTCTGGCTCGATCTGCGCCGCGCGCCAGAGAAACCATGTTGGGCTGAGGGTGTGGAAATTGTGTCGATGATGGTATTCGTGGCTGTCGCCGGGATGGATGGGCGGTGGCCCAGGGACAGGGTTGGCGGACGTGAAATGCGACGCGAGTTGCTTGAGACGATCTTTAGCACCTTCCATTGTATCTGCACGAGGATCTGGTTGATCAACGTTCTAACAGCAGCTTATATACACGCGACGGAAATATTGATCTACGGTTTGGCCCAGCTGAGCTGAAGCTACAGACGCCAGAGTGCGGAGTAGCTCCGCTGTGGGACGAGATGCGAGAGATGTCCGAGGTCTTGAGCGATGAGAGGGCAGCAGGACGCGATTTTTGACAGGGGTGCGCGACGGCGGAAAGAATGATGTCGCGACACTCTGAACAACGTGGTCTAATACGTTTCTTACAGGGCGCAATGGCTGACAGCCGACCCTGAAGCTCCCAGCCATGGGGAAATCTGGGGAAGGGTACCGGTTCCGGTGCGGCACGACGTCACAGCCGAGGTTAAGCGCCAGTAGGCATACCCTATCCTCCCGACCGCGTCGGATAGCAGACACATTGGACTACGAGGCTGTTATGCAAGGTACCTGTCCAGTTCGTCACGGCAGGGTGGATGCAAAGCATAAAGGGAATCGTGAGTGAATTAACATAACCACAAGTCTATTGCTGAATGCTCAACGCCGTCACCATGCTTTACATCAGCTGGGATTTTTCATTTCGTATTGCTTCTAGCCGGAAGAGTACCTGAAGACACAGCAGACCGACCGCGAAGAGACCCATGAACACGTAAGCACCCTGGTATTGATGTGCTCTTTTAGCCTGGACACCCTTTCGAATGGTCGGAGTATAGTAGAGGAAATAAACATCCCATGAGCCCAATGCAATCCACGCCGAACCACGTCACCGAAACTGAAACCGACACTGTTCATCGACTGCCGATTTCTAGTATGCGAGGGATGTGAGCTCTTGCTGGACCTTGGAGTCGACGGAGGCCGTCTTCTTGGCCTCAGCCATCTGCCGGCGGATAGCCTTCTTGCGCTCGTAGTATGCGGCACCCTTGACCTTCCTGCGCTCCTCAAGACTACGCATGAATTAGCATTTCTGATCTCGCTGACATAGGCTGGAGCGACATACCGGGCAACGACGTCCTGGTACTTCCAGCCGAACTCGTGTCCGAGACGGCCGACAGTGCAGTACTTGCGTCCGGGCTTGAGCCTCAGCACCCTCAGGGCCTGGGGAACGACGACGCGCTTCTTCTTGTCGTAGGGAGCGGGGACACCCTCGAAGGTCTTCAAGCGCTCCATGGCGGCCTTACCGCGGGGAGTCTTGTGAGGAATCATACCGCGGACGGTTCGCCAGAACATCTTGGAGGGAGCGCGGAAGTGGAAGGGACCTGGCAGGTGGGTCAGCACATGTCGGCTAGTAACGCGCACATTCGACGTTGGACCGCGAGTGCGCCATGTATGGACAGGGAGACGTACCACCACGAGTGGGGTTGTAACGGGTCTGCTTGCGCAGGAAAGCAGAGTACTTCACTGTAGGGTCATGTCAGTTGCTGTCTTGCCAGAAAATTGTCCCTAGAGCGCTCCGCCAAAAAGCAGCCAAAGTGCAAATCGCCGGCCACATCATCCTCTTGTAGCCCCATGTACCAATTGCACTCCATGGCTTGCTCCTGATCTCGCTCGCTCGTTCGGTGGGTGTACGTACACTTGGCGCGGAAGAACTCGCCGGAGATGTTGAGGGCCTCGCATCGCACAACAACGATCTTCTGGCCGTTGAGGAGCTGCTTGGCGACGGTGCTGGCGAGGCGACCGAGCAAGTGGCCCTTGCCGTCGATGACCTGCGTGCGCTGTCAGCGAGACGTCCAAGGAAGATGCGTGGTGTTGACGGGATTGCAGGCTGGCATCGCGGCGGCATGCGAAGGCCAGTGCCTGGGATATCGGGCTGCGTCTATCGGGGCGTACGTACAATGACGGGTTCGAATGTCGACATTTTGCTCGACTCCGGTGTGCTGTGAGGTTAGTTGTCGTGATGGAGAGCTCGATGGATGCGAATTCCAGGTGGCTCGACTAAGCGAACTGAATATTCGAGTTTGTGGTGCACGGACCCATTAGCGTGACTTCATCTCCAACGAGGTGAGCTTGCCCATCACCAACGTCTGCATGACACCCAACGCCAACAACAACGCCAACAACTAACGCACGTCTTGTCGCTGGCCTGTGAGGTAGCAGTTTGAATAAAATGGACGCTTGCCGCTGCGGCGAGCTGTCGCAGCATCTGGCGGACCGCCTGCTCGTATCGTCATGTCAGACGCGCAGGTTCCAGGGTCGTTGAGGTTAATTGAACGGCTTCGACTGCGAAAGAAATAACAGTTCAGATCTGGCCTATGTGATCTTCTGAATGGTGGATTGCTGAACGATCTCTATGGCGTGGTCAGGCCACACGTTGAACGCACGACTCGACGTGCTTCTTTGCGACAGTCCTTTACGACAGTCTGAGCTGCTGATGCTGCCACTATTGCGATCATGCCAATCCAAACTGACCTCAATATCTGGATACATTGCCGACCTGCAAGTTGCGAGTACTCCAAGTCCGAGCCAAGGAGCAGCACTCGGCATCGTTTTGATCTGATACTCTGCTTAGATGCGTATGTTTCTATCGATCTCCAGCATGTGTCTGTCTTCAACATGTCGAACAGCAACGAGGTGAATGCTTTTGCGGTGGCTTGCTCTGGTCAGAGATAGGAAAGAGCGAGCGACAACAAGAGCACGACGACGTTGTGGGTCTAATGGCTTTGAACATCGTCGCTTACAAGTGCATCGTCTTTGTCTTTGAACCGCACTGAGATATACGTCGCAATACTTGTCGGTCTAAAGGGAAGGGCCTACAGGTAATTCTGTTAATCGAAGAAGGTCACGATAGCGTACGCTCTCGCTCCTGCCGGACTGAGCTGCAAAATGAACTTTGCGCCCCATCTGGCTCATGCTAGGCAGGCACGCCTCCCAGCTCTACCACGCGCATCATCAGTTCTGGTAAGCAGAAGCGTCTGCAAGAAGAGCCACGACTCACGTTATCGCAACGCGTTTATCCATGTCGCCAGCC